TACTCTAAATCCTCTAAAATTTAGATTATGAAACTTGCTTTATGACCCAGTTTTGATAAATCTTCCATGTGCCCTTAAAAAGAATGTGTGTTCTGTCAATGGGTATAGTATTCTGTGCTTTTCAATTAGGTTAAGGTGGTCATGATATATTCAAATTTTCTGTATCATTACTGATTGATGGGTTTATGGTTTCTTTCTGAGATCACTTTCCTTCTCACTAAGGAACTAATTTAGTGTTTCTTTTAGTGCAGCTTTGCTGGTTATAAATTCTATTTTTAATTGTCTGGAAATATATCTTGAAGAATATAGCAATTCTTTCTTTTTTGGCTTTTTGAAGGTATCTTTACATCCTCATTTGATATCTGTTTTATCCCGGAGAAGTCAGCTGTTGATATTATTATTATTCTTTTGTAGTAATTTCTTTTTTTCCTCTGATTTTCAGATTTCCTCCTTCTCTTAGTTTTGTTTTTGTTTGTTTTTACCAGTTTGACTATGGTGCTCCTAGGTGTAAATTTTCCTTTTTTTTTTTTCTTCCATGGGGTTCATGTCTTGGGGTTTGGTGGGGTTTTTTTGTTAGACTTAGAAATTTCTCAGCCATTATCTATTCAAATAAAACTCTGCCCTATTTTATCTTTGTNAAGAACACAGCCAGCATGTGCCAGAGCAAAAGTTACAATGTGGGTCTCTGGACTGTGCAGTCTTTTGTAAGGGCCCATGAATGGGAGGTACACACTGAGTCTCAGAGATCCCCATTAGAGTGTCGCAGAAGAACTTCTGCTCAGAGCTGAGGGAGGGCCCTGATCTGACTCATGTCTGTCCTTACTTACTCCCTTACCCAGGGGAGAGTCAGTTGAATGTCAGACTAGTTGAGGCAAAATCATGATCTCTTGGAGGGAACATCAAAGCTCCAGAACCACACTGGGCAACTTGGAGTGAGCACATACCTGCGGGAGCCAGAGCAGCCTGGCTGTGAGGGGAGGCAAACCCCTATTTATTTCGTGCCTGTTCTGTTGTGTGCTAGGAGCCTACTTTCCCAGCCGCATGCGGCCATCAGAAGGAAGTGTCAGCTATCTCCTCAGTTCAGAGGTGAGGACATGAGCCAGGGAGAAGCAGGGTGACCTGCTCAGACTCACTCAGAAGCTGAGGGTAGAAGGCCTGGCTTTGGCCTCACCCTATCACCTCCCAGAGCAGAATTTCCACACCTATGGTTCCTGTCTCAGGTGTGTTACCTCAGGCACGCCCTTCCATGTTTGCCTCCCATTGGCTTGTCCCTGAGGTCGTGGTACAGGGATGAGGGTGAGGGCTTGGTCCAGGACCAGACTCCACCTTTCATGTCCTGTAGGCCCTAGGGAAGGCGCTTCCTGCCCCATCTTGGTTATCTTCCCTTAAGACAGGTGATGGGGCAAGTTGTTTTCCCTGCCTGGCTGTGATCTGAGATCCTGTCACCTTTTCCGGTCTGTCTAAGGAGGGATTCATTCCCCTAGGAGAAGATGCATGGTATCTGCTGCTGTCTTGTCACCCTCACTGAGGAGGATTGACTGCCAGCTTTGTCTTGGGCTGTCCTCTGGGTGGTTTCATTCTTGAAAATGCTTCCTGCAAGAAGCCATTCTGCTGAGTCGTGAGTCTCACAGTGCTCTGCTTGGAGTGTGGTGGCAGGTAGGGCTAGCAGATGTGTTTCTATTGGTCTCCTCGGGAAACAAGTAGAGAATGCTGGGTTCTGGGCCTGTGTGGTCTGGAGCGACTCATCTCTGAGGCACAGAAAAGTAGAGTGACTTACCCAGAGCCACGCAGTGGTGGGCCTTGGGGTTCCACCCAGCTCTGCCTTGTTGCAAGCCCAGCTGTTCCCCACACCACCCTGGCTCTATACTTTCACACTCACTAGGTAACCTCAGGAAGGACAGAAGTGTATGCCTTTGGAACTGCCTTTCAAGGCTCTGGATGGACAGTGCCATGCCAAGACGTGCTTTGGTCTTGGCAGGCAGCAGGGCACGCACCCAGCTCAGGATCAGACACCTGGGCACTGCCACTTGCTCTGTGACCTTGGGCAAGTCACTTCATCTCTCTGGGCAGCAGAGTCCACCTATAAAATAAGGGTTGTACCAGATCCTGACTCTGCAAACTTTTTCTTTAAAGATGGTAAATACCTTAGGCTCTGTGGGCCATGCAGTCTCTTGCAACAATTCAGCTTGGCCATTGCAGCACAGAAGCAGCCATAGACAATGTGCAAACAAATCCTGAGTATGGACATATTCCAATAAAACTTTATTTATAAAACCAGGTGGCAGGCCAGGTTTTGCTCATGGGTGGTGGGTTACCAACGCCTGAACTAGAGGATCCATATGTCCTTCCATCCTTTGCTCCTCTTGGATTCTATAACTGCACTTGGTCCAGGGTGGAAGCTAGACTCAAGCTGTGGGTCAATCACCAGCCTGCTTTGATGATGACCAAGAAATGAGCGTCTGTCTATTTTTAACGCAGTTGCATCTCGTGAGGGGACCAGAGGGAAACTTCAGTCTATGTAACCGGTTCTGTTTTTTTCTTTGTAGAATGCTGAGATGTATAAACTATCTTCACAGCAATTCCATGAGGCAGCTTCGAAAATGGAGGGCACGATAAAGTAAGAATTTGTTTATTATTTGTAAACTTAGGCTGTAGTTGTAAAAATTCCCACACATGGCTTGAAACCTGCCACCACCTGCATAATTTCAAATTTCTCTAATATCACAGAGGACCATCTGTTACTCAGTTCTCTCACCTGGATCTGAGGCAGCCATTGGTCATTTATAATTGGCCACATCAGCACTACTTCTCCCCTAGCAACCTGGCAACTGGGAGTGGGGCTGCTGCAGACAGGCAGGGCTGTTTCAGGATAGGTGTCCTGCAATCTGGGCCAGGTGCTAGCCATCAGGCCCCCAAGGGAGTCAAGGAAGGGGTGCTGCTGGCCCCCCATTTGTGGAGGTGGTTTTCAGAGGAGTCTGTTCTCTGTGGGTACCCTCACATGCCTGGCCCTGTGCTATAAGCTCTTGCATGATGATACTCAGGGGGACCCCTGCTTTATTCTCAGAAGGACTGGGGCTCAGGGACACTGAGAGCTCACTCAGGTTGCACAGTGCTGAGCTCAGCATTCTGTCCCCTATCTGTCATGCTCCTGTGCTGTCAGGGGAGGCTTCAGAGCCAGGATATCAAGGACAAGAGGTACATGCCATGTGTCCAATACAGACACAGTTTGGGGTGCAGGTCACTGGCGGGTCTGAGGGGTTCCTGTGAGGAAGGGAGAGCCAGGCCTGTGCTCTGGGTCCTTTGTGTGAAGATGGTCTCTGTGGTCCTAGTAAACCTTCATAAAGTGACCAGGGGCTCCAACCAACTCCCTCTTTCTCCCTCACGGGCTTCTCTCTTTCAAGGGTGAGTTGGGGTTACTCTCAGGCAAACCAGTCACAGTGCAGAGTGGTGAGGGTTTGGGTATAGCACCATGAGAAGGAAGCAAGAGGTTTGGGTGACTGGTGTATTCACATTGCTTGTGAATACAGCTGCTGATGAAAACTGTGACAGGACAGGGCAGGACAGGACAGAGATGACATGCATTACAGGCTCAAGGTACACATGGGACACCTGAAGCTGTAGGGAAATGACACCAGATTGTGGTAGAACCGACTAAAGAGTTGGATTGGGGAAAAGAAAACAATTATCTTGAGAGTTCAAGTCCTGGAACAACAGTAGGAGACTTGGAGAAAGAACTTTCCAGCAGGTGGACAGAGGTGAGGAAGGGTCTCGCACCTGCCCATTGGGTTCCCACAGGGCCTGGGTGTGAGTGAGCTCTGTGAGCTGTGTGGACTCTGAGGAATGATATGCCCAGCTGCCCTTGCAGGGTGTGTGTGCTACCCTAATATGCAGACGCTCCTGCCCTCACAAACGAGGGCCTACCGGCTCATCTGTGACTGAGAAATACTCACAATCACAATCAGTAAGAGAAAGGGGATGGGAAGCAATCACACTCCAGAGGTGGATGGGTAACAACCATCTTAGTCATGTGATCCTGGGAAAGGACAAATTCAGGATGTGGCTCCTCACCGTGGCCCACCCCCTGGAGTGTCTGTGGGGCAGTGATGCCATATCCACAGCCTTTTCCCCCTTCACCTGGATCATGGGAACACCTGCTGAGTGGAGGAAGCTCTGGGGAGAAGCCAGGAAACTTTACTGCCTGTGACCATGGCGTTCTGTCACCTGCCATGTGGCCCACCATCCTGACAGTGGGGCCTCCTGGTCCCCTGGCTTAGTGAATTTGACTTTACTGTCATACCCTTTCTCATCCTTGTATCCTCAGAAAGCAAAGGGGAAATGGCATATGAGTATATTTTTAATCTGAGTGAAGGGTTGTTTGCCAAATCCCTAGATAATGATTTGCTAAGCATATTACAAAATGCTCTGCAGGCATTTCAACTATATGCTCTTATTTACTGTTGTTGATTACATTTCACAGATGAAGAACTGAGGCTAGAGAGGTTGTCCACTGTCAAACATGGTTACCTGTCAGACTGGGATCAGGCTTAGCTAAGACTGCTTTGGTGTCACTGTTTTTCACTATTTGTCTTTATATCTTCCCTGTCCCTTGAAGGCCCCATCTGAACATAAGATGGGCTGCAGAATGGAGCAAAGAGTCTGCATGAGCTTTGGAATCCTGAGGACGTGGAATTATACCTCAGCCATGCTTCTCACTGGCTGTGTGCCTTTGGGCAAGTCACTTCACCTCTCTGATTTCCTCATCTATAAAACAGAGAGGAGCAATCCCTTTAAAGCTTTGAGTGAGATACCACATAGAAAGTAGACCTATGATGTCAACAATGTTGTTGGTATAGTGTATCTGTTACTAATAATGACAGTTATTTGAATTACTTTTACAGCACTTAGTTTGACATAGCATGGAACAAATATAATAAATAAATTGAGTTTACTAAAAAAATAAAATTGTCTTTCCCCAAACATAATAAACAGGAAGCAGTGTAGAGTTAGAAATTATTGTACTTAAACATTGGGGGTGGGGGCAGAATCCTTGATTGGGAGGTTTCTTAGATTAGCCAATGATTGTAAATTGCATCATAAATGCCGCCGAAATAAGTGCCAGCTGCTGATAGCAGTAATATTGGAGTTTTCTTCCAAGACAGTGAGCATCTTTCAACAATTGTGAGCAAACTGAATGGTTACTTACGTGGTTAATTAGATGTCCATGTATTCATACATTTATTCATTTAACACATGTGTATAGAATGCCTACTATTTGCCAGGCACCATGCTCTGTGCTGGTGATATAATGATAACAAGATAGCTTCAGTTCCTACCAGCAAGGAGCTTACATTACAGCATTTGGGGAACGACAAATAATATTTTTATTAATTGCACAAAAAGCAATTGCCCAAACAATGACTGATTACAGTAATGAGCTGTGAAAGAAAGACTGAGTCTGAATTAAAAAGCCCATGTCTAAGACCCCTAACCCAGACTTGGAAGTTGGGAAGGCTTCTCCAAGGAAATGACATTTAAGCTGACTTCTGCAAGATGAGAAGTTGGCTACTGGAAGGAGAAAGAACATTTCAAACAGAAGAAGCAGCCTGTGCAAAGGCCCCACAGCAGTAAGTAATTTAGCATATTCAAGAAACTGAAAAGCCAGTGTAGCTGGAGAGGAATGAATGAGAAGACAGATGAGGACAAAGCGGAAAGAAGTCTACAGAAGCCAGACCAAGCAGAACTTTGTAACCATGTTACAGATTTTACTTGTATCCTAAGAGCAATGAAATATCATTTCAGCTTTCTTTCTTACCTGTTATGCATCTAAAGTGTTAGTTTCTCTATAAACACAGTTTTAGCTACACCCTACAAGTTTTGATACATTGTATTTTCATAATAATTCAGCTCAAAAATTTTCTAATTT